CGTGTACTGATCTTAGGTGATAGGAAAAATATATGCGTCCAAGGAGATGGAACCACAAAGGAGGCCACACCCACAGAGTAGGTTCCAACAATTTTTGAAACCCACCACTGATGTATAACCACATGTGTTATATTAGAAAACGTAGGGGGGGAAAAGGAGGCAATCAAAGTGATTTGAAGCTCATTGATGAGGAAACACTACAGCAATTGCAACTCCTCAGCCTAGAAACAAAAGAGACAACGAGGAACCATGTTCGAAGCATGTGCGTTCACATGCCGGAGTCCAATCTCCACTGAATCTCCTAATCGATTTGCTAGGCAGCTGATCCCAGGCTCTGAAATTGATCTGCCGATTTGATCAAACTGGCTTTGAAGTGATTTATTTTTTTTCTTATTTGAAGCTTCGTGCAGGCCGAATCCCTACAGGCTTTGAACAGGATCAGATCCTAGAAATCAAAATGAATGAATACATAAAAGCTGACGCCGATGTTGCCATCGGTTCTGATCGGCACTCAACGGCAGGGGTGGGCTGCTGGAGGTTTGCAGGGGTTCGAGAGAATCTCTAGCTAAGATTCTGTGCAGTTTGGATAACTCCCAAATCCCAATCCTGGCTGGCCCCACCCACCCCACCCCTCCCAGGAGTCACTACACGGCCTGCTTTGCATGCAGGTAAGTGCAAGGCATGTATGGAGGTTTGGGGAATGTGAAAAACAGGCTTACTGGAAATTCGGGAAGGCCGGAAACAGGCCTCCGGAGTGTGGGGAGGCTGTTTTCACCCTCCAAGAGGCTCGAAGAAAGCCTCCAGAGCCAGGGTAGGGCAAAATCGGCCCCCTTCCATCATGGTGCAGGAGGCCAACTAGGCCACATGCACCATGGCCGCGCCCACCCAGCAACTGGGCAGAGAACCCCTTGCTAAAGTTTTTGAAGCCCACCCCTGCTCAATGGGCATCAGAAATTTGAACCTTGGATTTCGGGCAACTGAAACGGATTATCTGAAAAAGTAGGAGGGGAGCTTCACTTTCCCTGTCTCCCATCTGTTTTCCAAAATTAGAAAATATTTAGGTAGCGCTCGATGCCAAGTGGAAATGAAGCGGACGCCTCTCTCTGGACCATTGCAAAGACCCAAGTGGGCGACTTTGCTGGCTGATCTCGTGGTTCTGTGGTAGCCAAAACAGCCAGCTATGCCTGTCATTACCTTGTCCTCCAGAGGGATATTTTGTGTGCTTCTAATTAAAAAATAATCCCATCGTCTTCCCTCAGTTGTCTCCACTACCAAATATCCCAGCCACTACTCAAAACACCCCCTCCTGCCAGCTGAGTCCAGCTATCCAGAGACTCCGGGAACAGATGACATTGTAATCCTGTTCTTTTTTCAGGGATGGGTGGGAGGGAACTGCCCCCATCCTCAACCCTAATTAGCCACTTGTGTTGCCGCTTTGTAGAAGATGTATCTGTTGTTTGCACGCCTGGATGACTTCCTGTCATCCATTGAAGAAAAAGTCATCAGCAGCTCTCCCTCTCTCTGGGTTTCTGCCTCTTTTACTTTTAATTGCTAAGCACAGTTCGTGTATAGAAAGCTGGGTTGCAGGAAGGAGAATATTCTTTTCTTTTCAAATGGCATTCAGGGTTGTCCCCTGAAGCTGTTGATGTAGACTTTAGGAGTGTGTTGTCTCTGCTGGCCACTCTGTAACAGCATTGCCAAAAAGGCGTTAAGAGTTGTCAACCTAATCTTGTGAAGCTTTTTCTCCAGTAATATTGTACTGCAAACTAGGACATACAAAACCTTTGCCAGACCAATTCTCGAATACAGCCCATCTGCCTTGAATCTGCACTGTAAATTGGACATTAAACACAATTGAGTGAGTTCAGAGGTATTTCACGAGAAGAGTCCTCCACTTCTCTGCTCACAACAGAATACCTTATACCCACCAGGCTTGAAATTTTGGGCTTGGACAATCTGGAACTACGCCATCCACAGTCTGACCTACGCTTAGTACATAAAATTGTCTGCTACAATGTCCTACCTGTCAACGACTACTTCAGCTTCAACCACAATAATACATGGGCAAACAATAGATGCAAACTCAAGGTATACCAACTCGATTGCAGAAAATACGACTTCAGCAACAGTGTGGTCAATGCCTGGAATGCTCTACCCGACTCCGTTGTTACATCCTCGAACCCCCCACAGCTTCAACCTTAAACTGTCTAGTGTGGAACTCACCTCTTTCCTAAGAGGTCCATAAAGGGGGCATGCATAAGCGCACCAGCGTGACTTCCTTCCGTCCCTGCCCTTATCCGTACCCATTTCCTGTGTTCATGTCCATGTTTATACTTATACCTGTTATCTCATACATGTTTGACAAACCAAATAAATAAATAAAAACCATTGACTTGGCAAGTGGCAGGAAAGAATTGAGAAGAACCCAGTATACCCTTGCATAACCATTGCCTTTCTTTAGAAACAAGGATGTGTGAAAGTGTTGCCCTATCATTAGACAGATCATTGGTCTGGCAAGCCCAGATGGGTAGCAACTCGATTTTCCAAGAACCTCTTTTATTGAAATTGCCATTGGCATGGTGTATAGATCTTTCCTGCTAAGTTGTGGGGGAACTTCTGCAAAAGTTCAGTTTTTCACTCTACCTCTGCACTTCATTTATAGTTTGTAGATTTCCTGGACTTTGTTCCAGGAAGGTGTAATATGGAGAATGCAGAAATGTGAGTGGCAAAAAAGATTTGAAGAATGGGGAGAGGATCCTCCATGGACAGAATAACGGAGTTGGAAGGGACCTTGGAGGCCTTCTAGTCCAACCGCCTGCTCAGGCAGGATACTCTATACGGCAGCCCAATTACTTCTTAAAAACTTCCAGTGTTGGGACATTCACAACTTCTGGAGGCAAGTTGTTCCACTGATTAATTGTTCTAACTGTCAGGAAATTTCTCCTTAGTTCTAGGTTGGTTCTCTCCTTGATTGCTTTCCATCCATTGCTTCTTGTCCTGCCTTCAGGTGCTTTGAAGCGACTCCATCTTCTCTCAAATATTGGACGCCTGCTATTCAGGGGTGGGTAGCTAACGTTATGGCCAGTTCAGAGAACCTCCAAATCCCACCCCTGGCTGGCCCACCCTACCCCTCCCACCGCCTTCCCAGGAATCTCCACACAGCTCATTTTGGATGTGAGGTAAGTGCAGGGCCTGCCCACAGGCTATGGGAGGAGGGGGAAACAGGCCTCTTGGAAGTTCTGGAAGGCCAGAAACGGGACTATTTCCAGTCTCCGGAGCGCCTCCGGAAGCTGGGGGAGGCAGTTTTCACCCTCCCAGAGGCTCAAGGAAAGCCTCCGGAGCCTGGGGAAGGTGAAAATCCCCCCCCCTATGGTGAAGGAGGCCAACAAGGCCACGCCCACCATGGCCACACCCACCCAGCAACCAGGCAGAGAACCCATTGCTGAAATTTTTGAAGCCCACCCTGCTACTATCGTGTCACCCCTAGCCCTTCTCTTTGTTAAACTCTGTTTGTTAAACTTCGTTAGACTATGATCCAGCAACACAAATCTAAACCAGCAGTCTAATCTAAACCAATTCAAATTGTCTTGAGGAAGAGGTTGCAAAATAAAGCCTCTTTCCCCGGAGAAGACATTAATCCTGAAACTGGGATGCCGGACTTTAGCTCAAAATTAAATTTTACATTTTACACGAATCGTATTATTATTAGAAGTCATGGTATTATTAAGTCTAGACTTAATGAAGATCCATTTTCTATACCGGGCGGGAAGACTCCGAAGCTCAGTGTAGGGCAGTTCATTTCCATCTGGTTGGGCAACCTGACTGAGAGGTTCAGAAAAGGTGAATCCTATCAAATACCTTTATAATAAATCCTTTTGTTCTTCGGGAATAAAGCTGCAGTCGATAGAGATGAAAATGTCAGTTCTGATACAGTCTTACTTTTCAACTGCAGACGTGTGTAATATTTTGCAGATGGATGACCAAGTCTATTTCTGGCCCATGTTTTTCTGAAGTATCCTTTTATACATATACACACACCACCACATACACATACATCTTGAGTTTCTAGTGTAATATCTGGGAGGAAGAGGAGGAGATCAAAAGACCCTATTTGAGCACAATCCAGAGGGGTTTTGAAATTCAGTTGGGTGGATTCTGAGTTGGTGTTAGCTAGCTAATAGCAATAGCAATAGCAGTTAGACTTATATACTGCTTCATAGGGCTTTCAGCCCTCTCTAAGCGGTTTACAGAGTCAGCATATCGCCCCCANTTTTAGCTTTCAATCCCCTAATCATCTTTGTAGACTTACTTTTATAACCCACACTCAAGGCGTTATAATCAGAAAAGTCTTTGGTAGAGTCTCCACTAAAGATCCACTTAGCCAAATTCTTTGAAACCCACAACTCATCTGTTCTTGAGAAGAATCTTCGTCTTTCTGAAAAGTAAGCATATTCTCATTTTTCTGTCTATGCATTCACTAACCCTAAATTGTCCATCAAACCAAAAGAACTGTTTGTCAATTTGTCTTGAGTGACAGTAATATATTGGTTTTTCCTTGTAGGATCCCTATCATTTTGGTTGTTATCCTCTAAACCTATTTAGTCCATTTGTGGCCTAGAATGGGCAGTAAATGGGCAGCAAACAAACATAAAAATATTTTAAAAACAAAGTAAATACTGCTTAAGGAAAGGAAGGATAAAATGCAACAGATAATTATTTACTTTGCTAATAGTGGTTGCTAGACTATATCTCTGTGAGGGTGACTGCCATTTATATTTCATAAGTAGCTATATATTCTCAGGGTAAGAATGTTGTTAATGTAAATACATAACTGCCATTCATGAGCAAATGAGTGAAAAGAAAGGCCAGATTACTGTTATACAGAGAAAAACACTCATGATAATCACTACCAAAAATAAACTAAAAGAACATGTCAACCAAGGAGCATTAATCACTCAGTAGTGGTCTTTCAATAAAGTGAAAGTAGTGGTCCAATTTCATATAAAAGTCCTCTTAAAATAAGAAAGATTGAGGAAAATGAAGAGTTGATTGCCTCACCCACTTTTGTAAATTATTACAAGAAATACAGTTTACCTTACTTTACAATATAAACCACCCAGTTGGAAAATACTATGGCATTTCTTTTAAAAGCGGATCTTAAAAAAATAAATTAAAAGAAAATATAATTTGAAATATTTTTTCTTGAAGTTGAAAGTTGACATATTGGAATAATTCTGAGAGTGGGTTAATTCACATATTTACTTATACTGCAATATATTCTAAGGTATTCTTTCTACACTCTTTAGTCATGTGGGAAGAAAACTACTACCTATTTGTTAAATCTCACACGTAGTTCACAAAATCCTACCAAGTGGAATATATTTGACTGATTCTGGTATTTATAAATGTTCTATGAACTATAGAAAAGTAATGATTGCAGTATAAGTAAATATGTGA